GTACACGCAAGCGTGTACACGTACACACATACGTACACACGTACACGTAAGCGTGTACACGTACACGTACACGTAAGCGTGTACACGTACACGTACACACATACACGTAAGCGTGTACACGTACACGTACACACATACACACGTATACACATATATATATATATATACATACATACATACATACATACATACATACATAATTAGGCTGAAGCATCTCTCCTGTTATTTTGGTTGTGTGTGTGTGTGTGTGGACCGACTCACATGTGAGATCCCTGATGGGTCGACCATGTAGAGTTGAGGACCGTCGTCTTTGTCATACGAGCCCAGAATGAAACTGTGGAGAGACGACATCATCACTTCCTGTCAGCAGCTCCTCTCTCTCTCTCTCTCTCTCCGTTTCTTACGGTGGTCCCTGAACTCACCTGCAGCCGAACGGCCTCACGGCGCTGTAGAGCGTGTAGGCGTGGACGTACATGGCCACTCGGTCCGACAGGTGCTGCAACGACAGGAAGCACCGTAAGCACACTGTTAGCTTAACATTGCTGGCTGCACACGGTCCTCACAAGTATAGAGACTAACCTTCAGAGGGATGTCGTGTCCATAACTGGACCTGAAGCTGGACGCTTCATCTCTCGCTACTTCAGACAGAGAACGCGCATCAGCCAACAGACCTGCTACCGCCTGGGGGGGAGACAGACAGACGTGTGTGTGGGAGAGAGAGAGAGAGAGTTCAGCTCAGGGATTGGTCAGACAGCCAAGAGGAAGTGACATCACAGGAGTTCAGCCCAATTAGCGAAACTGACTCATCATTCCGTCCCTGCTGACATCTGTGTGTGTGTGGTTACCATGCCGACGTGTCTGTCGATGTTGAAGATACGCTTGTTAGATCCTTGTTCGTAGAGTTTTGACAGAACAAGTTTCTCCACCCCGAACACAACTCCATCTTTACAGCGGATAGCTATGGCCGTGCTACACACACACACACACACACACACACACACACACACACACACACACA